ACTTTGATTATTATTTCAAGTAAGTTCAGCATCTTTGATCATTGATGGAGGTACATTATTTTACAGCCTCGTGTTATTGTTCACCTCTAATATAGGCTATTAGTAATCCTTCAGTTGCCTCGGATTTACTCCCTGGTTATCAAAACAATATCTAGGATTTATTAACTTAATATTCTACTATCACATTTGTATGTTTCACATATTATTTTTTGTGCAAGAGCTTGAGATGCGATGAGGAGAAAACAAGTACCAGTAAATCTTTGCTAGCATTTGTTAACATTTATTCAGTTGTGAGAATTGTTCTTAGCAATACCCTGGGTGCTCGTTTTGTATTCTTCACCTAGACATTGTTTTACCATGGATCAAGATAACTACCTAGACTGTGGTGCCAGGATGGATCAATAATTTTCCAATGCCAAGTGCATTTGCTCAGTCTGAATGTAATGGAAAAATGACTCATTCTTCATCTATTGCACTTCAAACTGCAAATGTGAAATTTTTGTCACTGTGGATCATATTTTAATAACCAACTAACCTTTGTTTTTTATAGGTTTGTTGTGTAATTTTTTTTACTCTTTATGTGTGTGTCATCATGTATTTATCTTTCACTCTTCATTGAATAAATTCCTCTTTAATGCAAAAACAATTAACAGATGTTCGAGGTATAAGAAGATTTTTTAGAAGGTAATGTCCACTGATCAGGGGCCAACTGAAGCCACTTAAGAGCCGCGAAACTGCAGTTCCACTAATGGCCACTAGAGGAATACTGATACACACAAATCTACTGAGGTTAACTGGGAAACTCCCCAAACTTCTCCCATGTTTTATGGTCTGTGGTTCATTATCCAGTTTGAAATCCATCATCTCACAAAGTTGATATTAGAGATTATGGGGAAATATTCAAAGCATGTAAGCTTAATTGGCAGGTGTCTTAGTTAAGAAATGACAGCTTGTCCCATGTCCGTTCCACCAGACTCTTCCTCTCTGCCCACACTTGTATTTTCTGACTTATTAAAACAGACACGTTTTTCTGAAGTTTTAGCACAATGTGAAAATAAATGTTCGGTTTTGTGTTTCTAATGTCTGTTTATCTTTGTATGTTTGTGTGGTGACACCACTGAAGAGTAACTACCACAAAGGTAGTTTTGTGTGCTTGGGCAGGTGTTTATATATCTGTCCATCTCTTTGGAAACAGGTTTCTAATGTGTTAACACTCCAATTGTGCATTGCATACTGTAGCAACCTTTGCAGATGTAAAGTTTGAAGACTGATGTTGTACAACTCTTAAGCACCACTGCCACTGTGTGACCCCAGTGCAGGATGGTCACCAGTCCCGAGTCCCTAGTTTATTTGAGTTTAACTGTACATGCATTAAATCTGATCTTATGCTTTTTCTGTGTCTTGTGACTCATCGACACTAAACATGTGAACAATTTATTAGCTGTTAAACTCATTTGTGCTTTTTATTGCTTCACACTCCACAATGCATACTTTGATATAACATTATTGCATCAATGTCATTTCTGTCCACTGTAATAGGCAAAAGAAATGGCACATTTAATCAATGTTTGCTCTCCGGAATAAATAAATAACTTATTCAAGTCAAGCAATATGAACTTTTTTTATTCACCTGATTGCATTTTATCCCATTCTATAAGATGCTGTTTCCTATACTTTTTCCAGATTCCAGAATATCTGTTTTTACCTTACTTTACAGTAAAAAAAATAGTTAATTATGTTCACAAATGGAAAATCTTCTTAACAATCACAATGTCTGAAAATTTCTTTCACATAAGAACAAAGGACACCTTTGCTACTATGAAATTGCGAGTAGATATCGTCACACACAATGATAGCAAAATCTTTGATTACACATATTTTCTACCAGACCTCACCTTCACTACCCTAATTATCTATCAATGAAGAGAGAAGTAATCGATAAATACCTGAAGAAACTCTTTGTCCAAACAAGCTATCCCTTGCACATAAAAACACACAGAAATTGTGTGCATGGTGACTCCACATGACAGAGAAACGTAACTGTAAAGTACAAAAAAAGGGGAGAAACAACATATAACCTTTCATCAGCACAACTGCAGCCTTGCTTTCCACCCGGTGATTTGGCTAATACTATGAAAGCTGCAGGTTTATATTTATAGGCTCCAAATGTTCCCAACATATGTACATAGGTAAATTCTGTGTGAAAGAGCTCTGGTTCTCAGTGCAGCTGCACACTTTAAGTCATGAAATGTGACTCAACACATGTGCATCTGTGCAATGCATCAACTGCTGAGGAAAACCTTCAGAGTCACCTCAAGTCATCCACATTAAAGCCTTCATGTCCGAGTGTAAATGTAGCAGAAAAGTGAGGGAATGTTTATTCCTCCACACTGTGCATGGATATTAACACTAACTCCTGTCATAAAAGAAGGTAAAGGTGTATAACTTTAAAAAAGAATTATATATGTAATTGCACTCTCGCAACAAGATGACTGTGACTTAATAAAATTGAACTTCAAAGGAAAATTTAATCAAACAAATCAGTGGCAAGATTTATTTTCTGTCACAGATTTTTTTTATGTACAGAAGAAAAAGATTTGGTCTATTTCTCTGAAATTTGCCAAAATTACAGATTACAGATTACATTTTTATAGTACATAAACTTTTGCACTGTAGGACTAGCTCTCTTTTGTTGGATGGTGCCTGTGGAAGAGTCGCACTGCAGTAGCTGCACATCCAAACCTTTCCTGTCTTCTACATGTCATTTGTATTCATGCACATATTAAGCATATCATTTTTTATGCCCAACCTCCAACCAACACACACACTTAAAAAAAAATTCATATAAAGATCCATCAGCTGCAGAATTAAAGCAGTGCATATGCAAATTATCTAATTATATTACATGTAAATTCCCAAAGCTCTGGGGGAACAATGCATTTCAGTGTCTTATTTCAGTTTAACAATATTTGTATTTTTTTTTAAAACATATTGTGTTCCCAGACAGTATAACAAATGCATGTAACTTGCTTTAGATTTGTGTAAATTTAATTAGTTGGTCTTTTACTGCAGGTTGTAAAACATAAAAATAAAATCAACAGCAGTTAAACAGTGGGCTGGGTCCCTGATTAAATGATTATGACTTGTGTGGATAAAACAAACGAAAAAGGGGGTGCTGATGCTGCCATGTTGATACTTAGTCACGCTTTCACTGTTAGTTACTGAAAAATAATAATAATACAATAAAACATGGGTTGGGTGAATGATTTCTTTTTCAAACTGCAACACAATGCAAGTGATACAAATATATTATAGCCCACAGTCAGCTGATTAACTCCATTATATTCTTGATAATAGAGAGGACACTGTAAAATAGGAATAAAGCTCTTTCAGTTTCCAGCTGCTTGCAGCTGTTTTATAATACTCTTGTGGTAGGCTCATTACAGTATTGATCTATTAAACCATTGTCATAGACACTAGTATTTGCTGGCCAGACACAAGTCAGGACTTAAACTACAACCAAACATCCATTCAACGTCTCATTTCAATGCAATTAAAATTAAAACCTGCAGGAGGCGCCAGAGGACGCGCATAGGATTATCTGAGGGCGCCTTTATAGTGTTTTCATGTCGACAAACTAGTCCAAGCACGGGTGTTATGTGCTCACATACCGAGTTAATATGTTAAATACTTTTCTGTAATTGTCTTATGAATACACCCTAACTACCTTTCAACAGAAACGATTGAAACGGACTAAAAACTGGATATAATACTTCAATTAGATAAGACATCCTAAAATGCCAGAAATGGCTGTGTAAGATATGAAATCTGAGTAATTCAGATGAATTTAATGCATAAGTCAATCAAAACGAACGAGGGAAACGTAACGAGAATTAGCTGTAACGAAATGGCTGTTATTACAACAGCGACGTTTCGATCGTCAAATCATAAAAGCTTATATAGACCCAATTTGGCTAAATTAATTTTAAAAGTGGCCTTGTGTTAACGAGCAGGCTTCATACTATGTGTACTGATAACTGTTTGTGTGTGCTGCTGTAAAAATAAATAAATAAAATAAATAAATAGAAAATCCAGGCGCGAGTATCGCAACGAAATGTGTCGTTCACGATTAAAGAGCTGGGTGCAAGTCCCCCCAAAAACGGAGAAAAACACATACTTCATAAAATAAAATAATAATAAAATAAAACAAATCATCAACGTAACACTATCTGAAGAATAACACTCTTATTCTCACGTCACTGCTTTCCAGCTTAATCTGATTGCACTTCGCATTCTGATTAAGTCGCAAAAATGGCAAAAAAAATATAAAAGAAAAAAGGGGAATAAAAGGAATAAAAAAAGAACAATGATTAGGGAGGGGGAGGGCGGGAAGAGAGGAGGCAAACAATGGAGAATCAAAGCATAATAATATTCCTAAATGAAGAGGGAAATGTTGCCTCGCTCATTTTATTAATCAGACTGTCAATTTCACCCAAGAGGCCAAACCCAAGAGCGATCTACAACAGACTCAGAGATCAACCCAGGGACAAGCACCTCGCTCCTCACTTCTCTCTTCCTCTCCACTTGGATATTATTCGTCTGACCGAAGGCCGCCTCCATCATCAAGTGACAGCCCTCTCCTATTTATTTGCTTATAAACCTGTTACAATAAATGATCATTGGAGCAACGTCAGCCCAGCATTTTAACAACGAACAGCAGCCACTTTTGATGAATGACATTTTGCTGCTGTGGGGAGGATGCACGGCTCATTTTGAGCAGTCGCTCGTCGATTGCGTTTAGATTCTTTCATTTTTGCGTCTTGCTTATAAAAAGGTTTAGAGACAGTTATTTAGACACAGTTGCAGGAGTTGCATGCGGATTTAGCTCCGACACAACTCATTGGTGCTCCAGCCCCCTGGACAAGTGTTGTGTGTGTGTCTGTGTGTGTGTGTGTGCTGTTTTTTTCTTCTTCTTCGTCGTCGTCGTCTTCCACGGCTTAATGATGGAGAGGATAAGAAAAGAGATGATATTGATGGAGAGAGGTCTCCACAGTCCTGTCGCCGGGAAGAGGCTCGCAGACACGCCTGGAAATTCAGTGCTGGAGGCCCTGGAAAACTCCCAGCACGGCGGACGACTAAGCCCGAGAATAACTTCCGCTTCCCTCCATGGAAATCTTGGGGACATCCCGACGAAAAGCAAATTTGAAATTGACAGTCTTTTCGGTACACACCACGGCAGTGAAAATTCTTCCTCGGCGGAGATTTCCTCGTCAGAAAGCAGGAAGAAAATGAGCCTTTACTCCGAAGTTTCGCAAGAATCAGATATTAACAGTGATGTGGAAGTGGGATGCCCTGCGCATCGCTCCCCGAGCCAGCACAAGGAAAACAATAAAGGTAAGATTTTATTTTCATCAGTTTTTCTCTCGGCAATCATTTTGGACATGAACATTACTATTATTGTTGTTATTGTCGACTATTTATTTTATCCAAGGACAAAAAATTCCAAACCAAAACCCTAAATTATTATTATTATTATTATTATTATTATTATTATTATTATTATTATTATTATTATTATTATTTGTTACACAAACGTCTTGTTATTCTACTACACTGTGAAATCCGGTAGGCCCACTCACAAGTAAAGCTGAATTACTATTATTAGTATTAGTATTAATCTTATTATTATTACTGCGAAATTTTTATTTTTTATTTATTTTTTTAATTTTCAGGTTTTTCAGACAGTAGCTCTGGATCTTCCAACACAAGCTCAAACTCCCTCCAGAACATGAACGGTAATTCAACGGTGGGATCAAACAATTCAAATGCCGATCAAGTCAGAAGGTATCGGACTGCTTTCACCAGAGAACAAATCGCAAGACTGGAAAAAGAGTTTTACAGGGAAAATTATGTTTCGAGACCGAGAAGATGTGAGTTAGCGGCGACGCTAAATTTGCCCGAAACTACAATTAAGGTACGTTGCAAAATTAAGCTTGAATAAATATTCCTCTGTGTGTGTGCGCGCGCGTTGTGTGTGACGTGCACGTGTTTTTGTGCATGGAAAGCAATGATGTGACTATTTAAAAGCAAACACATTAATAGCAACAGTGAAAATACTCTGCAGTTTAAAACAGAGGCCGTGTTATCTTTATTCGTGCGCATAAAATGGTGCAGACATTTTTTAAATTTATTTTATCTTGCACACACTCACACAAAATGCGATTTTACTAAACAGCTAAAGATGTGGATAGTGACAATTTTTACGTTATGGATCCAAGTAATTTGTACATTAATCCATTAAAACAAGAATAAGTGCAAAACAATATACCCCCCTTTACTTTAACGGATTGATAATACTGCAATAAGCCGATCATTACTTCAAAGCAGCACGAGAACATTTGCATGAAACATTTGAAATCAGCGCAGGTAACGTGTCTGTCCAGCTCAGCTCTTCAGAGGTCTGAGCTTGAAAACAACATGGCAGCTTCAATATGGGGCTTGTTTTGACTCTGTGTGCAGGTGTGGTTCCAGAACAGGCGGATGAAGGATAAAAGGCAGCGTTTGGCGATGTCCTGGCCCCATCCAGCAGACCCTAGCTTCTACACTTACATGATGACGCACGCGGCAGCTACAGGAAGTCTACCTTACCCTTTCCACTCGCACATGCCTCTACATTACTACCCGCACGTCGGTGTCACGGCAGCAGCAGCGGCCGCCGCCGCCACCGGTGCCGCCTCGTCACCTTTCGCCACTTCCATCCGCCCCCTCGATACCTTCCGAGCGCTCTCCCACCCATACTCACGGCCAGAGCTTCTATGCAGCTTCAGGCACCCGGGACTCTACCAGTCGCCTGCAGGCCTGAATAGCTCGGCCGCTGCATCCGCGGCGGCTGCGGCCGCGGCCGCGGCAGCTGCAGTAAGCGCTCCGTCAGCCACCGGGCCCTGTTCGTGCCTGAGCTGCCACAGCAGCCAGGCGGCAAGCGCATTGGGCTCCAGGAGCGCCAGCGCTGACTTTACCTGCACAGCTTCCGGGCAAAGATCCGAGAGTGGATTTTTGCCGTATTCTGCTGCGGTTCTAAGCAAAACTTCAGTCCCGTCACCAGACCAGCGAGAAGAAACTTCACTTAACAGATAACTGATCACGCAGCCAACGCGACCGTTTCCTATTTTGCTCCAGTCCTACTTTTAGGGGTGGGGTGGGGGTATTAGGCCTACTACTTTAAATGGGGAGTCCCACCTGGGCGATGCATTAGGCGGTATCATAAACACACCGACACTCGAAGATTAAAAGTCTAAAAGTGATTCAACTGGAAGAGACTGTTTTTATTAAAACAAACACTGATACCCAAAACTCTGAAAATTTTGCAGCTAGTAACTTTTTTAAAGGCTTATGGTCGTGTGTTGAACTATTTTTACGGGAGCTACTGGATTAATTTACACATTTGAGGGGAGAAAAAAACATTTTAGCTTTTTTATTTAATAATGTCCCACTGCCTCAATAAATGTATCATATTTATATTTTTTCCCCAAATGAAAACATAAACTTCAACTTAAATGTCCAATACTCTGTGTGACAAACCCAGCCTTGGCTATCTCGGCTCCTTTAGTTTTCGGATAAAAATGTGAACTAATCATGCTTATCTAAATTTAGATATAGCAGACGGTCTACTTTTCTGCCCAGCAGCATATCTTTCTTCACTATAGGTCTAATAGACTGAGATTTTGGCAGCAATAGCTTCTCCAACACCCAGCCTCGGCTCTATGGGGACACCTCTAATCAGCTAGAAGGTGCATATAATTTTGCACCGCGTCTTTCGCGTCAAGTTTTATGTTAATAATGAGAGGATCATGACAAAAATTGCCAATCATGTACCTAGATGGAGCTCCTTTGAATACATGACTGTAAGAAAGTTCCTCGTTTTGAGACCCGCTGTCAAGTGCTAACAACCCGCGGAGGGAAGTCATTAGACATACAAAAGACCTGGAACAAAGCGACAGTCCTGGCACACAGAACGCACTGTATGAGGATGCTGTATCTGACACATGGACGGTTATAAAATATTACACACAAAGTAGCTTTCCAGGACCCTTTGATTTTTTCTGATGATGGCAGATACCTCGATATATCAGTCTCTTTTATTTGCATTGCTGCACCTCATTATATCAATCCAGTATTTTCATACGTGGGCTATCTAATCCCTACAGGACCTCTTCACCCACAATGACGGGACGGAGCAAGGCGAGAGTTCAGATAAAATAGCCTGGCTTTACAATCTGTCTGCGCCTGTAAAATGGCTATGTGCATTTTAGTTGTTCCTGTTGGGACATCACCAATATGTTAATTATAAAACATGTGAACTGTAAATCGTTAAATATTTTCCAAATAGTCCTACTGATAGCTTAAAACTGAAATATTGATCCGGAAAAATGTACCACGAAATGTGGATGGTAGGCTATTTTTAAAACTTTTTTTTTATTTATTTTGTGACTTGTTGAATGTTTCTTTTTAAATGTTAAAACACTGGATCCCATAGCCAACAAACTGGCTTGTAAATTCACCAATGGTCCAAACTCATGACCTGTTTTGGGGGTTTGTTTGTTTGTTTGTTTTTTCGTGCAAATTTATACATTTACTATAGAGATGGAGAAAAATTCTTATGATCCACTCAAAAGAGGCTTGGAAGGGCTGATAAACGGGCACTGAAATTAAATGGAAAAATCTACTGGCCTTTGTCCCCATGGTCTCTGTTATAACTCTATATCTCTGTATTTAAAATATCAATGACTGTATGAATTTAAATATTTTAACTTGAAAAAAATGTGCAATATGAAATGTAAATCATGTTATTTATTGATCGTGTTTGTTCTTGGAAAGTAAATAAAAAAAGTCTTTACACATTTCCGTTTCTTCACATGAATGACACATTTTTTAAAAATAATTGTAACCCTGGATGCTACAAATTATTATGATTAATTTTGAATTTAACTGCTTAAAATAAAGTAAACATTTTTTCTGCGTATGCTTATAGCGACATTGAAGGCACAGGCTTATTTAAGTGCCGCTGCACCATATCTATACCCAGTCTAACATTAATTAAAAATACGTGGAAAGCTACAGGGAATATGAGGCCTGCCATCACGGGTCATTCCGGCCCTATAATTTACCATTATTTTTACATTACCTCTAAATGATACAAGCTGATACTGTCGTTAATTGCACTTGGTTAAATATAGCCTACACCAGAATGCCCCCAGGGGACTTCAAGATAAGTTGCTTTTTTGAACGTCCCCATTAAAGAAATAGGATTAGGGGAGCAAATATGGGCGTGATATATCACCAGGTTTACTTGCTCTTTACTAAAGAGAGGGCTGCAACCCATGCAACAAAGGCACTGAGATAGATGGAGGTGTAAAAAGGAAAAGACAGAGGCCAGAAAAACACTGTCCACAATAACACGATTAGTTTTGTATCCAATGTGCAAGACAGAAAAAGAGAATTCATCATAATGCAGAGGACTGTCTGTCACCTTCACTGAATGGTTTTTGACAAGAAAATAAATCTTTTGGGTTGTTTAATATATTTTATATTTTCTTTATTTCAGTGCTAATAGAAAAACCAAATTAAAATGTCCACCAGCGAAATAGAAATGCAAAGATCGATGATCCTACAGCTACTGTCCAATCACCCCTATTTAATTGACTGTATTTTCAGGGTAATTGAACTGCTTGTTGTAAATTGAGGATTTTATAGAAACGACATGAAAACTACATTTACTGACATTCATCGCATCTTTGACATTGATTATCTGATCAGCGCCGTGTCATGCTAACCTCCAATTCTTCATTACACACTGTTTATGAGCTGTTACAGAACAACTTGCTTGTTCCAGAGTGATTGATTGCCTTATTAACGCGTGTTCTTGTAAGTGTGACCGGACTGATTACGATGCATATGTTTAGAATAATGTTTCATTTAGCTGACTGCGAGTAATGCAGGGTGACAGCTGCTGCGGGAGGACAAAAAACCTAAACTACAGGGAGCAAGCGGGGCCAAAACGCATTTAAGGTGGAACTAGAAGACAACACACGGCCCTGTGGTCAAATAGTCGTTCAACGCCACATAACGGACTGGCAGCTCAGCTGGGTCTTCAGTGAGCCAACTGGGAACTAAAACAGCTATTTTGTTACTATTGTAGGTTTAAAAGCATAAACCCGAGTCCATTGTAGCGTGCACTCCAGCTGAGCGTATATAAAACATATATGATACAGTAAAAGTGACTTCCCAGCTATTATTTAAAATGATGGCGAAACCTATCAAGACAGCAACAACCAAAAAGCATCTTTGAGGCAGACGTTTTCATATTTAGCTAAAATATTTCTCCAAACTCTTGGATTAAACGCACACCACAAACGGGAGCCTGATGAGATTTATGCCACCATTATGCTTCTAAAGTAGTCTCTGCTCTGTTTGTCTCAAATCATTGCCTCTGTTCAAATGTTACTTTCATATATTACATGGCATTAATTCAACTATAGCTCATTAAGACAGAATGAAATGGTTAAATTAACTTATCAACTCATAATGATGATGAATGGGGTATTAATTCAGATACAAGCTGGGTAATTTGCAATTTTGCGCGTTTTGATGGTTCTCAAATAACATTTAATATAGCGGGTCATCCCCTCAATCAATTACATGAGCATGTGAGTCGGTCGTATGGAAAATCCCCTTTTCATGCATATGTATTGAAACATGTTCTCAATTATTTTTGGAAATTGCTTTTATAGGTTTTAGAGTGATTCTTTCAGTGGTTCTTCACTCTGGTTCTAGTTAAGGTGGTACTCCAAATTGCCACTCTTTTTTTCTGAAACGTCTGTTAAGCCTGTAGTGTTGCATTTTTAAAAACCATGTGTGGAAAACACGATTTATTAGGAAAAGAAATTCAGCGTTTTATTTTAAACCCTTTTTCCCGGTACTGAAAAAGCATTACATCTCATCAAATTAGTCACAAATTCATCACTTATTTATTTATTTATTTGTTTATCTGGGTAAAGGAGCTGGGTTAAGGTGGGGCAAGGTCAACGTAAAGACCAAGAAATAGACAGGTTAAGATACAATTACAATGGATTAAAATTGTTTGCGACCTAAAATGGTTATATTGTTGTCAGGAGTCCCAAAGCAGTTCACAAAATGCTGTATTAAAAATGATATTAAATACTGTTCAAAATATGGTTCTAAGAGTAAATACAGAGTTAACATCATTTCCACGATTTTCAAATTTGTTCCATCTTAGCCTCACTGAGATTTACACTGCCCCCCTGTTTTTGTAATGTTCTGTGGGAAAGTGTCCCAGTGTTTTAAGTAGCACACAACGGAATTTCCACTCACTGAAATTGCTGCCTTGGTACCAATATTGGTTCCCTAGCTAATCTAGACTAGTTTCAGGTCTATTTGACCGGAGTCAGATTATAAATATTCCTTTGAGCAGACCAGTTATTTTCAACAGTGTTTTCAGTATAGACAGCGTGTTGTAGACTTGTTTCTGCTGCAATACTCAAATAAGTATGCTTCTCCAAAACGTACTTTTTGGAGTGACCAAACATGAAGCAACAAGATATATTGAAAGTCTCCGGGGATGCAAAAAATATTTTAAAAAACACACAAAAAAAAAACGTCCTGAGTGCATGAAATTTTTGACTGGCGGTATAGTTCCATCATTTGAACATCTATACACGAAGATAATAAAAAAAAAATGTACATTTAATTTTTGGGCTTTTTTGCATGGGAAAATTGCTCTCTGCGCTGGTAACTTCTCCGCTGGAACCCGAGCACGTTAAAGCCGAAATAAAAAGTGAAAGAGGACGCGCGTATTCTAGAAACATTCTGCGTGAATGTATAAAATGCATTGTATTATTTTACTTTTTGAGTTGATTACAGAGTGACCCGTCAGTTTGTACTTACTTAGAGGCAGGAATACAAAGCAGAAATTTAAATGAATTGGCTACAATTTTGAAGAGTGCCACAGAAAAAGTAAATGGAAGATAAAAACCTCAAACAGACGGGGTTAGTAACACAACAATGAAGAGTCAGCACCAGAGAAAGTGTATTTGGAGAGATACTTTACCCACAGTGGT